CCAGAGCAAAAGGGATGATTTGGGCTTATGTGTGAGACTCTGTGTGGGGCATAAAACCAACGCTTCACTTGGTAAAACTCAGTGGCAGCATAATGCTGTGGAGTGAATGGAAGCAGCAGGAAATACAATACTTGAAGAACTTTATTAGAGGTTGCAGACTGGAGACCTTGAGACCTAACTCACATTGAGAATCTTGTTGATGTTCATGGTTGCTTATCATCCAGTCAGGCTGAGTTGTTGAGCTGTTTTACCTCAAAGAATAGGCAAATGTTTTAGTCTACGGATGAGATTCAGAAAAGATTTAGAGCTTACCTTCAACCAAAAGTTGTTCTACAAAGTATAGACTTAGCAGGTGCTAAAAACAAATCCACCCCGTACTATGTGTAAAAAGTTTTCGAAACAAGGCATAATTTTCATACCACTTCATATTTATCCACTTTTTTGTGTTGCTCTGCCATAACCCATTTAACATCTCAGGTCTTCAAAGATACAAAAATCTCTCATGATGCACCTGAGGAAGTTGTTTATTTACATATAGTTTATTTTGTCTACTGCACACAGATATATATATATATATATATATATATATATATATATATATATTTATTTATTTATTTATTTAATCAAACACTTCCCTGACAAAGTCAACTAAGTTGATTTTCTGAAATTCAATGGAGACAAATTTAGAGTAAATTTCCTTTAAGAGTGTCTTCCAAAAGAATGTCTGAGCAAAGATACCCATTTGCTTTTTGGTAATCGTCTTGCAGAACAATATTTGTAGGAAATTAACAGTTCAGCCAACTATATGTTCTATTATTTTCAATAATAAATAAGAGTTAGAAGCAAAAGCATCTAAAGCCTGAGTCATCGTGCGATCTGGCAGATTCAAAAAGTGAACAATATTCCAAGAACACACTGAAAGAAGACAGAACTAGACAGGAGGGAGCAATGCTATGCAACATCTTCATAAACTTTAATTAATGCAATATGTTATATATTGCATGTTTTATATACTGGAGGCTTTGCTGCAGTGTGGGTGTCTGGCATTTTGCAGAAAAACGAGCGAGCGTCTGACTCCACACGCGCGTTCAACACCTCCTGCCTTTTGCATTCAGAGTCTCATTAATTTGATAATGTGAGACTGTTAATGACCTCCTCGGAGCTCCAAGTGTTAATGCATTTCAGTGATTGCTTGGCTGAAGGCAGGAGGCTTTATTTTTTGCCGCTTGAATGGGGAGGGGGGAATGAGTCAACTGCATTGAATCACCAGTTAAGAGAGATTCCTCTACAGTCACTGCTCCTGCAGTAAAATAGACGCAGTGATGGTCGGGTTCGCTGGGAGCAAAGAAACAAAACAAAAAAAAAGCAAGGGTTATTTCCTTTCCTGTCTCCTTGAGAAACTGCAGAACATCCATGTATAAAACACAACCCTGATCTTGCCAACAGTGAACAGAAGCAGAAAAACATGGCGGTAAATACATTCAGACATGAAGTGGAGGAAAGCAATAGGTTAAAAATAGAGACATGCAGAGTCTTACTGACTAATATAACATTTTCTGATAGTTGTTGTTTTAACACACTTTAAAGGAAGACAGTTGAAAGTAGAAGTTAACATTTTGAAATTAAATTTGACAAAATTCTTATTTGAAGCTGACATTTGTGTGATAACGCGCCAGTTTGTATTTCTACCCATATTGGAAATTTGCATTGACTTCCATTAATTTTAGTAACTGTATTTATGCCTAACCCAGACATTTTCCCTAACCTAAACTAAAACTTAACTCACAACTTACCTCTAAACCTGACCCCTGACCTTAAACAATGGGGTTCGTCACATTAAGACCCAACTTTGGTTCCCATAAGCACATTTGGATTTTAGAAGGTTAGTAAATATGCCATAAATGGTCCTATGAAGAATAGCTAACAAGTACACACATGCACGCACGCACACACACACACACACACACACACACACACACACACACACACACACACACACACACACACACAGTCGTGTTTTCATATCTTGTGGGGACTTTACATTGACTTCTATTCGTTTTTTACAGCTTAACCCTAACCATCATATATACCTAACCAAAACTCAATTAACACCTTAGTCCTAACTCCTAACCCAAAAACAGCAATTCCTTTCATGTGGACCAAGATTTGTCCCCACAAGAAGCAGTGGTCCCCACAACCTCACAACATTAACTAGGTCCCTACAAGGACATAAAAACCTGGTTCACAAACACACACACACACATACTCACACGTTTGTATTTTTACTCATCTTAAGACTTTGCATTGACTTCTATTCATTTGAACGGCATTCATACCAAACCCTCACTCTGATCCTTCCCATTCAATAAATTAGACTGTTATTGAAAAGTCAATTTATTTTAGGAACTTAATCACAAAGTGAAACACATTAACAGAGGTATTTGTTTCTGTTGTGACAGGAATGAAAACATATTTAAATTAAAATATTAAGAACTATAAAATTATATTTGTTATACAAAAATGTGGGCTTAATGAAAAGTATATTTAAAACCTGCTTAAAGGTTGTTAATTTTCAAAAGGCACTTTTAATCTGACAAGTGAGACTTATCGGAGTGCATATTCTAACTTATTGAATGTAAATGTATATTCCAAAGCCAAACCATAACTTAATTCACACCAAACCTCTAAACCAAACTCCTCATATGGTTTTATGGGTCATGCCACATTGAGTCTGGAGTTTGGTTCACATAAGTTTGATCAGTCCTCAGAGAGTTAATAAAATGCCATAAAACATCCTAAATTTGTAAAATAAATGCACCTTAAATTGACATTTTAATCACATTAACTATCTATTCCTTCTTACATCCACTGGCTTCAGCAGACTTTAGATAGAGTCAAAACAAAATCTCATTCCTATTGTAAGCGAACCAGTTTTTTTTTTTTGCTCCAGATTAATCTAGGTCTTGGTTCACACGTGCAGACCCAGTCAGAGGAGACCCGGCGTGTCGGCTATCTCTCGCTGTTGCCTGACACACTTGCAGAACCTCCCAGAGTCATCTGAGCCTGTCGGCTGAGGACAGAAAACTGGCAGCAAAGTCCCTGTGAATACACAAACAATTGTTTTTAGCTAAATAAACCTGTTGGCATTTTTTTTTTTCATTGAAGGTGCAAGTAGCATGCACATTCAGTGTGTTCAATTTCTCTGCTGCATTTGTGTTCTCCAGCACAAACACAGTTTAGTTTGACCAACCAGAAGGCAAAGAAGATGCAAATGTTTGCTGGATCCAGAACAAACAAAAAAAAAACAGAAAAAGCACCAGTGAATCCAAGGATGACAAATACTTTGAGGATGATGAAACTGGAGTGGGTTAAAATTACGGCGATTTACTGTGTCGGTATGAAATAGAGGATTGTGATAAACGCTGAGCTCAGCAAAAACAAAGGATTTTCCCAACCCACTGACAAACTGACAGATTCCAACCCCCACTATTTCCCTCTTGGCAGATAAACAGACTAAAATCAGAAAATAATACCACAACTAAGATAACTTGCCTTTCACAGGGTTTCTGTATCCTGGTGTACAAATGGCAAGTTGAGTGGAATGTGTCAGAGGGTGTGGTTGATGGTGTGAGAATGAACACGGAGACCCAGATGAAGTTGATGATGATGAGTTTAATGATGAGAAGCTCAGAGTCCAGGATCAGGCAGCAAATTAGCACATAGCTAATACTGGTAGCAACTGACATAAAAGACTCTAAACTGAAACAAGCAACCTCAGGATTTCACAATTCAGCTGAGGAAAACTGACTGACAAACGACATAGCATATATGAGGAACACAGATGACAGGGGGACTAAATATACTGGGAGGGTAATCACAGGAACGAGGCACAGCTGGGATCAATCAAGACAGGGAGGACAGGGCATCGCAGAGACTAGCAGGGAACAGGATCACAATAAATACAGAAAAAAACAAAAATAAACACAGAAAACTACGGATCACAACAGAATGAGAAGGTTTGGCAGAAACAATGAAAATGCAGCATTGATTATGGACAATTCAAACTGTAGCAGAAATTTACAAGGAATGAACTGCAGCTGCAGTTGGGGCTTTAATGGCCTCCACACAAAGACGTAGTCAGGATATCATGGGCTGCAACTACGGCAGTCAGCATGTTAAACCCCAAAATCAAAGACGACACCTTAACTGGACAAAGAAGAAAAAATGATTGTCTTTTGAGATAAAAGTAATTTAAGTAAGTCATGCAAAAGGAGCTCCAGACAAGTACTTCAGACTGGACCCACATTCTGTATTGGAAAAAATCAGTTTTTATTGACTGGATGTAATATTCTAATATAGTGTAAAACTGGACGGTGTGTTTTAATTGGCTGAAAGTTACAATGATCAAATTTAGTGAAATAAAACTCCCATATTTGTACTTGATATATATACTGCTCAAAAAAATAAAGGGAACATTTCACTTTAATTTTGTGTATGGCTCCAAATCCAGGCCTCAATTGGTTAATAAATTTGATTTCCATTGATGATTTTTGTGTGATTTTGTTGTCAGCACATTCAACTTTGTACAGAACAAAGTATTCAATGAGAATATTTCATTCATTCAGATCTAGAATGTGTTATTTGAGTGTTCCCTTTATTTTTTTGAGCAGTGTATATAGGTTTTCCGCAGAAAACTTGCTAAGCCTGTTGGTTGGGGCAATAGGGCAGCAGCCCGTCGTGTTTTTGAGTTAAAAATGTTTAAAGCTGACAGGAAATTTGAAAATTTGCTTAATAATTATGTGTTATTAAACCATTAGAAGATCCATACCTGAACACCAACTATAGCGTCTTAAAAAATGCAAACATTTTAAAGAAACTTACAAAAAATAAGCAATGCTTAGCCTGGTGGTGGCACAAGTAAAGCCTGGTGGCCCGCCAGGCTTATAATACACTGGGGAAACCCTGTAATATATTGAAAAATTCACTTTTTGAATTGTATTATTGAGAGCCACCTGTAGCTGAGAGTATGAACTTATACTGTATTATAGACATGTTAGTGTTTCTATCCTGTACCATGTAAAGACTGCATCATTATTTTATCTGTTGACAAAATAATAAGTCATAGCACATAATAAAACAGCTGGAGGCCTACATTCATAACTGTGTCTTTTTTAAGTATGAAGTAAAGAACAGCGGATGCAAACCTTGGCCATTATTGGTGTTTTGATTTGTCTTAGCTTTAAATAATTACTTTAATTCTATTTCGTCCATTCTATGAAACTATTAGTTTGAAGTTAGTTGGGGTGTGCGCTAACTACCCGCCTCGTGAAGCTCATTAATGGACCTTCACGTTGACAGACGAGATGTCCAATGGTTCAATGGAATCCTCCGGGCAACCAATAGCCTTCGGTTCCGAGCTGCTGCTGCTTGCTGATTGGCGGAAGGAGCTTCTGCCTCCCGAGTACCGACGCTTCTCCTTTGGTCAAGGTTGCACTTGGCAGCTGCAGTAGGACGCGAACTGATCGCTGCTTACTCACGGAGGCCAGCACCAATTATCATCATCAGCAGCAGCAACAGCTCTGCTCTCGTTTTTATACCGGAGCGTCATTCTAGGATCTCCATCCTCACGGTATATCCGCCATGGACGAGATGGAGGAAGAGTTAAAATGCCCCGTTTGCGGCTCCTTTTACCGGGAGCCCATCATACTGCCTTGCTCCCACAATATTTGCCTGGCGTGTGCGCGGAATATTCTTGTGCAGACCCCCGAAGCCGAGTCCCCGCAGAGCAGCCGAGCCTCCGGGTCCGGCGTCTCAGATTATGATTACTTGGATTTGGATAAAATGAGTTTGTACAGCGAGGCGGACAGCGGATACGGGTCCTACGGGGGGTTTGTCAGCGCTCCGACCACCCCCTGTCAGAAATCACCGAACGGAGTCCGGGTTTTCCCCCCGGCCGTCCCCCAGCCCGGTCCGCAGCAGCACCTCCTGCCGCATCCGGCCTCCTTGCCCCCGATTCCCCGCAACTCCTGCATCACATGTCCGCAGTGTCACCGCAGCCTGATCCTGGACGACCGGGGGCTCCGGGGGTTCCCCAAAAACCGGGTGCTGGAAGGGGTGGTGGACCGGTACCAGCAGAGCAAGGCGGCCGCCCTCAAGTGCCAGCTGTGCGAGAAGAGTCCGAAGGAGGCCACGGTGATGTGCGAGCAGTGCGACGTGTTCTACTGCGACCCGTGCCGCCTGCGCTGCCACCCGCCCCGCGGTCCCCTCGCCAAGCATCGCCTGGTTCCCCCCGCGCAGGGCCGGATCAGTCGCCGCGCGAGCCCGCGTAAGATCTCCACCTGCACGGAGCACGAGCTGGAGAACCTGAGCATGTACTGCGTGCAGTGCAAGATGCCCGTGTGTTACCAGTGTTTGGAAGAGGGGAAGCACGGCACGCACGAAGTCAAAGCACTGGGCGCGATGTGGAAACTGCACAAGGTACGTGCGTAAAAACACGAAAGCTTTCTTTGAAGCGAACAGGTTTTTTCAGCTTTAGGCGGAGCAACAGGTCTGTCTTAAAAAAAATGGAGGAAACAGATCTTGATGTGTGATTTTTAAATAAGTTTCTGTGTTTCTATTTTACTGGTGCGGTGTTTAAGGTTTATCTTGAGGAAAAGAAGGGAATAATTGCTTATGTGGAGTCTTATATGAAAGGGTGACAAATCAGCAGCTGTAAATGTACAAAATATGATTTATGGATGGTTTGGATGATGTGGCTCTTTGCTTTGGGTGGCAAGAGCTAGGGGGCGGCACAGGAAAAGTTGTTTCCAATATTAGCTCCTGAGTAACATGCAAATGATTTAAAGCAGCACACAAAACATATTCTGTCGTGCAGTTAAATAGATTTTATTATGTGAAGTGATGCGCTGCGATGCAAAAAAAGTGAAAGCTATCAAACATGGATAGTGAAAGTGAGTGTTGCTTTGGAGACGTGTGTAATACTCTGACCTGGAAGTGGGTTTGAATTCTACGTGTGGCGGCTGTGTACAATCTTCGACTGTCTTTGAATTAAAAAAAAAATAGAACAAGCTCTGTTGTTTATGAAAGAGTTTAAATATGATCATCAAGGCTACATGGACGCAGCTGTGCTAAATAGCTTAGAACTTGCGTCAACATTTCAAAGAATATTAAACCTTTAGATTAAGTTTTAAAATCTCCAGCATAGACTTTGTTTTTCTTTTTCTTTCTCTTTTTTTGAAGATGGACCCTGAAATGAGAAAATCAATTTTATTTCCAGAATTACAGAACTATGAGAATTGTAACATGTAGCTGTGATAGTGTGGAAAAAGAGAGATGTTTTCAAAACCTTTTCTATTCAGCTGCAGCCTTTATTAGGGCCAGACGATATGGCTTGTATATAAAATCTTCAATGTTTTTTTTTTAACATTTTTTTAATATCAAATCAGATTTACCACTAATCAAGTTTTGCCCTCGCCTTTTTTTCTTATAGTAAAAAATTACAAATGGACAAAAAAATGTTAAAAACTGACGTTATTTCAATTATCCATTCTGCTAATTGACCTGAATTCAAAGTTGAAATAAACAAAACAAGATGGCGCCCCGAGCGTGATGACATCACTCCGAACTAGGGAAACCCAAGGAGTGTATCGGCGGAAAAAAAGAATCACATTTCCAGGAATTAATTCTTTGAGAACAGAAAATTCTAACCTCTCTGTGACATAAATTGAAAAATATATATCTATTTTTTTTTTAAAGATCACAAAGGTTGGAAGGTCTCCTTGCCATCACTCTTATCTTGCTTTTGTAAGTGAAGCGCAGATGCAGCCCTCTGGCGTAGATAACGGAGTTATTTTGGAACCCTGGAGTCGTCGTGGGCACCGCGTTTATCTACGCCTCTGCACTGTCGACCCTTCACCTCCGCCGTCCGCTTTCCAGTGAAGAAAAAAACATCGGAGAGCCAGATTTAGTCCCCGGAACGCTCTACAAACACTGCAGACTCCCACACACACACACACACACACACACACGTAGCGATGCAGACAAACCCAGAAAAACGTGAGCAACTGCTCACACAAAAACTCGACACCATCACCTGTGCTTTCGGGAACGCTGTCCTCGTTATTTACACTTGAAACGGAGTCCTGTATTTCTCCAAAAAGAAAAAAAAAATGGGAACGTTTAACGTTTCACCAGCCTCCATTTTTATCATCTGTTCTAGACTGAGCTGAAATGAGTCCATCATTTCAGACGTGAGAGTCCAATTTTAAAACTGATGGAAAAGTCAGAGGAGGCTGAGCCTCTGTGACCTCGTGTGCTCTCGTGGTTTCACGGGTCTGAAACAGGAGCAGAGTATTTTAAGAAACTAATCAATGGCGGCAGGGCTATTGGGGCCAATATGCAACCCTGTTTTTGGCCTCCATCAGCAGCGCCTGGTTATTTCTGATGGGACTGGGAGTATGACATGGAGACAGTTTACCAAATAGTTTCATTGTGGCTTCAAGTTTTTCCTCACAATCCTGATTTTTGTCAGAATTTGCGTTTTGTTTTATACCACATCCTGTTTCTCCTTGAAACATCATGTTAAAATATGTATATTTTTGGCCGCTTGGGGGCGCAGCTGAGTCGTAATATATTATTTATCAGATAGTGAATTGTAACATTAAAATAACACAATGACATGAGGGAAAACAGAAGGAAAACGTCGCTGAAATAAACAATTCATGGTGCTTTCGATTAGCCCGGCGTTCAAAAGAAATAATTGTGTTATACTTCTATAATTCAGCTTTAGGGAGACATTTATTTGAACATTAACATCCACCGCAGACTTCGAAAACATGTTTAATGAACTGAGGAGGAAAAATATGAAAGAAAAAGACTTTTTACTTGGTTTCTATTGGATTAATCCGGAACAGGGAGTCGTATTGACTTAGATTTTACTCAGCCAAGGTTTTTTCAGGTTGTGATATTTTGTGATGCTGTGTGAGGAACTTTCATGCAAATTTTCTACCCACATTTGTACATTTGTTTGGTTTGAAATACAGACGTCGTAGTTTTAAAACACTGGGTCATAAATCAGGGTTAAATCAGCTGCTTTGATGCTGCCACAGTTTTTCCAAGTTCTTTTGTATTGTTCATTGATATAAATTGATGCTATTCAATTCACCACCTGAATCTCACAAAAGATCAACCTTTTCTCATTCTATCATGTAGATCGTGTTAATCTGTTGAATATCATGTATATTTGTAGTAAATGTGGTCTGGGAAGTTGTGGAGTTTGAAATAAGCGTTCTAGGTTTGGATAAATATTGAAAAAGTAAAGTGATAATGATATAAGTTTGATATCCATCAACCAATCAAACAACCAACCAACTGACCAACCGACTAACTAACCAAACTAACATCTAACCAATCGACCAACCCACCAACCAATGAACCAACCGACTAACCAATCAATTGACTGACAGACCCAACTAACCAAGTAACCGACCAATCAACCAATCGGCCATTTGAGCTCAAACTACTGATTTAAGTTATTTAGACTTTAAAAGAATGCAATAAGTGAATTGACAACTTTTAAGTGTTTAACAGTCTGGATAATTATGGATATTATTTTAAAAGTTTAGGAGCCCTGCATGTGTTCCTAAAAAAAAAAAAACTTTATTAATTGACACTCAGAGGCAATATTGACACTAAAACCAGAGAGAAGGAGGTGAAAGAAAGTAAAGTTCATCAACGTGCTCTGACAAGGTTTCTGTCATGTGTCGTCCTCTAATTACCGCTGTATACCGTCCCGCTCTGCATTCACCTCCAGGCTTTATCACATCAACAAAACCATCACAAAGACACCTCTATTTTTCTCCTTCATGCTTCATCAGATCAAAGCTACTGCTGTTTGATCTCTGAGCTTTTCTTACCGGGCTGCTGCATTTTTCATCACCATCGTCATCATCATCACTGGCTAATGTTTGTAGCGTGTTGTCTACACAAAGAAGCTTAATGAATCTACACTCACACATTTCTAGTATCCCATCTTTTTTGCTTTCTTTCTGAACATTTTCGTCAAGTTTTTTTTAGTCCGCATCCTTCGCTGTCCTCTCTTTTATCTTTATTGTTTAAGAGTTGAACAACCTGCCGCCATGGCAACCGAGTCCTTCTTGATGCTGTACAGAGCAACGGAGGTCTCCAAGATACCAGGAGCCGCGAGGGGTTCATCCCAGACTCTTTACAGTGTGTCTGGTCTCAAAGATGATAAAACCTCGGGCATTTATCTCCTTACTTACACCAGATTGATGGCAGTGTGTCTAAAACGTTGGCGCAATTTAATGTACCCAAAGTCAACCTTAGTAGCAGAGCAGTGATTGAAAAATAAGAGTTTTACAGCGTGACTCATCCAGGTCCTGTCTGCCTTTTGTGATTAGACGATCGGTGATGTGTTGACAAGATGTCCGCTTTGTTGTCGCATCACTGTTTGCGTCTCTTTGCTGATGCTGTTGGAGGCCGTGCAGGTCGTTAAGTGACGTCTGGGTCAGGCTACATCGCCTCAGAGCCGATCAAAAACGACCAGTCGGGTGGAGGTTTGATCACCAGAAGACCTGTGAAGTCGACAGCTTCACCAAAACACAAATTCAGGCTTTCTACATGGTTCTCATGTTAAAATGACACTCTTTTCCTGACTGTTAAAGACAGTTTTGGCCAATTTGTGAAGTATAAATACAAAGTTTGACCATTTTTTAATGGAGAATTGTCAGCAGGGTTTTTTCTAGACATGATGGATGAACAAATTCAACATTTTTCCACACTACTTAGGCCAAATATTACTGGATAATAAATTGTCCTAGAAATGATTGCGATAAGCAATAATACTGTTGTTTTGAGACGATTTTCAAGTAACATTTTGATAATAAAAGTTCGCCCTGTCAAAGACTTATAAACTTGAATTTTGTAAAAATAAAAACGCTCCACACTGGAACTGGAAGACATTGTAGATATCCAAAATAAAACACAACCAAACACACACAAAAAAATAAAATTAAATGGAAATAAAAACAACACTCAACAGAAACCACTGATAAAATGTATTATGAAGTCTCTAAACAAAACTGCCCTTCATAAGTGACCCAACTCATTTCAATTTGTAACGTGACTAATTAATTAATTGATTAATTATTGCAACAGGCTTACGCAGGAGTCCTGTTTGGTGTAGAGTTTAAGTCATTTCAAAGCGTTCCTGTTTGGTGCTTTTAACGTCAGCATGTGTTTGAGCCTCAGCTGTGCAACAAGCGAAGCAGGCCTAACTAAAGCAGACATGCAGGCAGCTCTCATCCACCGTGCCCCACAAAGTAAGCTAATGAGGACAGACAGCGCAGGTGCTGGGACGACTATTAAAAATCTCATTACAGTCTCGGTGCTGGTGTTGTCAGCTGCTTCTGGGTGCCTGCAGTCTCTTAAAATCTCAGCGCGAGCGAGGAGGAAAACCT